CTAGTGTTAGTGGCGAGACTTTCGGCGCGCACCGCGGTACCGTAAGTTTCGTGTAGTCGGTGTGGTGGAGCTCGATGGGGTTTAGTCGGTAGTCGTTCTGCGGGGCAAGTGCTTCGCGCGCCTTTTTCAAGGCGTAGTCTCTTGTGAGAAATTGGGGGAGGTGGAGGACCTCGGCCCTTCTCTTCTCCCTTCTTCCTCTCAGGAGGCGCCGGAGTCCGACATAACCCGGTCCGTCACCCCCCTCGACCGGGTATCCGTAAATGGATTCACCAGAGTTAAAAAAAAAAAAATAGCGCTAGTGTTAGTAGTAAGTCCTCTCAAGATGAGCTCCGTGAATTCACTTACCTCTTTAGGCGTAGTTGGAACAGCCCTGTAGATTACCAACGATTGATGAATGATGAAATTGACCATTTGACGAAATTGAATGATTGAAATGGAATGAAACAAAACGAGTTAAGGTGAAATTAAAAATGTCCGCAAAAATGGTGGGAATCGACTGAGACATCAATGGACTTTTTGAAAGAGCCCGTAATAGCCACGTCCAGCGATTTGCTTTCCTATTCCCATAATTATGCGCTTTCATAGATGCTAACCGGGTAATAAGTGAACAATGTTCATCATCATCATCATTCTTTCCTGTNAAATGGAATGAAACAAAACGAGTTAAGGTGAAATTAAAAATGTCCGCAAAAATGGTGGGAATCGACTGAGACATCAATGGACTTTTTGAAAGAGCCCGTAATAGCCACGTCCAGCGATTTGCTTTCCTATTCCCATAATTATGCGCTTTCATAGATGCTAACCGGGTAATAAGTGAACAATGTTCATCATCATCATCATTCTTTCCTGTTACCCTCTGCTGGGGTACAAATGGTTAATCCTTTTGACTGCCATTTAGATCACCAATACCCAAGGTGGCGCGTTAAAGTAATTATGTCGATTTCTATAACTAAAGTGCCGGAATATTTTGTAGACTCTGGGAAATACGAATCCAAAGATACTGAGGATTAATTATTAAATTCGTTAAATTAAATTCTTTACCGGTGGTAGGACCTGTTGTGAGTCTGCACGGGTAGGTACCACCACCCCGCCTATTTCTGCCGTGAAGCAGTAATGCGTTTCGGTTTGAAGGGTGGGGCAGCCGTTGTAACTATACTGAGACCTTACAACTTATATCTCAAGGTGGGTGGCGCATTTAGGTCGTAGATGTCTATGGGCTCCAGTAACCACTTAACACCAGGTGGGCTGTGAGCTCGTCCAACCATCTTAAGCAATAAAAAAAAAAAAAGCTATTTCCAAGTGACCTAAAATAGAAGGCAAAGCTAGGCAATCCAGTCACTTAGTAACAGAAATCTTACTTAATAACTTCAGTGCGCCACGTAGGGTATCAGTGACCGGCAACGGCAGTCCAAGATTTAACCCTGAAAAATTAATTATCAAAATAAATCAATCCACTTAACCTCTAATCTCGTGTTCAAATCAAATAATAATAAATACCAAGTTATCAATCTTAATACTAGGTGATATACTCGTATTTGGCTCAACCCATATTTATTTACCAATATAAAAGTAATATATTTTTCCGAACACTTCCTACGGGATTAATCTACTTGATGGGCACAATGTGAACTATATCACGTGTTCTGACTAATAAGATATTATATTCCTGTCTTGCTAATGATACGTATTCGTACCGTATTAGTAATCAGAGAGTGAGTATTAAGTAATATGAAAACCATACAAATAAATCTAGTTGAAGTGTTTCTTTTGTATGCTCGAACTGCTTTGCTATTATTACCACAGACACGATCCACCCACATCGATACTTTAGGTCAGTCTCGTTTTTATTTTGTTACTAGCTGACCCGACAGATTTCGTAGTGCCTCAATCGATAAATAAAAGACCTAAGCTTTTGTATAAAATAAACTTAAAACAAACAAAAGGAATCCGTCCGGCGAAAATTGTTATTTTTATTGAATTGCGAGCATTTTCATATTTATCTAACTTTTAAGCCTTCTCTGGACTTCCACAAGTAATTCAAGACCAAAATTAATCAAATCGGTCCAGCCGTTCTCGAGTTTTAGCGAGACTAACGAACAGCAATTCATTTTTATATATATAGATAGATTTCTTAGATGGGTGGACGAGTTCACAGCCCACCTGATGTTAAGTGGTTACTGGAGCCCATAGACATGTACAACGGAAATGCCGCCACCCACCTTGAGATACGAGTTCTAAAGTCTCAGTATAGTTACAATGGCTGTCCTACCCCTCAAACCGAAACGCATTACTGCTTCACGGCAGAAATAGGCAGGGTGGTGGTACCTACCCGTGCGGACTCACAAGAGTTCTTACCGCCAGTAAAAACGTTTTTGAACTGAAACGTTTGAAATGTTTAAAATCTATTCCACGCTTCAAACTGGAATAGGTGTTTTCTTCGCTGCTGAAATTTTGTGGTGGATTGTGCATGATTTCGAAATAAACGCTTTTTAAATTATACACAATTTTCATAACGGTACGAGTGAACCTGGCTTGCATAATTTATCCTTGTCGCAGATTGAGCCAATATCTTCATTATCTTTTAACATTATGGGCTTGTGGTGGGTAATCGTGCAAAGAGATTGCATAGTACGAAACGACGACAATTCCGAGAGGTCTTCACTCTTCTTAATAGGGCCCTGAAACTGCGATACTTTAAGACAAATATTTTTGACGTGACAACGTCTTATAATTCGATGGAGCCGGCTGCACGCACGAAAAACATGACTCATTGAGGCGTTCCATTTAAGGCTTGAAGTGCAAGCGAGAGCGCGCAACGAGCGACAAAGAGGCACAATCGGGCTCCGCGTTCGGCAGCGTTCGACAACTGTCTCTCTCCTACTTGAGTGAGAGATTCATCCGCGTGGACAGCTGCTATACAATAATACATTTACATTTTTTCGTCACGTATGAAGTTCAGTGAAAAGTGAATGTGGTGTCAATTGTCCATACAAATTTCTATCAAACAAATAAAATTAAAATTTTCTTTTGAAAAATGAAACCATTCCACCAGTATTTTCTTATGACGTTGTCAGGTTCAACTATCGTCAGTAAACCGACTTTACAGACAAACGATTTTTTTTTCTATATGAAAACTAGCGACATCTTGTAGCGGCTGCCCCTAAACTTATATGTTGTTAAAGTTAAGACATTTAATTATATTATTATAATTATAATAGTATAACTAAACACAGAAATTTAAAAAACGAATAAATCATACAAGTCTTTATTTGTTATACGAGTAGACAAATTGATTAAATTTTATCAATGTGTGGTTTCTGAAGATTTAAAAAATCCTTCATTAAAAATAAAAGATAGGATATATTATGTTACTGCCATCAACAGGAGCAATGAGAAACTAATCGAAGCGAAGCCATCTAGTGGCCGACGCCCGTAAGCATTTTTGTTGAGTGCTTGAGTTGCTTATCTATAACTAATTTATGTGCATTATCTATGACAGGCCGGATTTGACTTGTGTTTTATGTGGTTCATAGCTGACCGTTGATGGAAATGTAAAAAACGCAGCCATACTTTTCTTCGGCTACCCTCGTTTCCTCATGACCGGATGTTATTTGCCAGAAATGAAACGCAAATACCGGTTTTGAATTTCTGTTATCTTCTCAAAAACAGTCCCCAAAATCATTCTGCTGTATTTCGTAAATCCGACATTATTAATTTAAGACTAATTAATATCTAAATTAACTAAGCCAGATATCCGTCTCATTAAAAACAGGTCTCTATTGTCAATCCTTAATGAAAGTTTAACGATGCCTCCCAAATAAATAGGCGTTTCTAAAATGAGCCCTCGAAGTTTAAATATAAAGTTGACTTTCAAAAATCGATAATATTCGTAAGAACAATTTAAGTTAATATCCAAAGTGTACACAAGTAAAATTGAAGATATTTTCAATCGTGAAATCGCTTTCCTGCAACGTGCCTAAACGTCGCTCTTACTCTCAGATAAGTCTATACATCACGCACTGCAACATATATGATAATGTATAACATCTAGATAAAATGTATGTTACCTCATTTATTAGCCACCTTTTAGAGTCCACTGTTAGACACAGGCCTCTACATAGGCACGCCACACGACGCGATGGTAATATCCTCATAGTTACCTTACCTTAATGAGAACAAATTATACATCAGCCATATTAAAAGATAAATTATTACGGTTTTCTCGTGTTTAAAAACTACTAAAATAGACCTTGGACCGACCCAATTAAAACTATAGTGGGAGATCCCCTAAATGATGCATGGTGGACTCATACAGGAAGAGATGATAAGACATAATGTGACGCATCATATCTGCCCCTCCAACATCACCACCTATACTTGAGACCTTGATGTAACTATCTTTATCTCAAGATGTGTAGCGCATTTACGTTGTAGATGTCTATGGGCTCCAGTAACCACTTAACACCAGGTGGGCTGTGAGCTCGTTCACCCATTTAAGCAATAAAAATAAATAAAAACGACCATTCTGTCAAGAGTGACATGATTCAGAAGAAGATAGCCGACGTTACTGGTATATCTGTTCTGTAGTCCTTCTACGCCATTCTTTGCCAAGGATGTTCGTCCTTGTCTTCCAGGATGGGGGCCCAACCCAGCAGCGCCTTGGTAATACACATGCCCTTCATGCATATTCCCGTGAGGCTCTAAGCTTATAATCACACTGACACCGGGCTTCTAAGCTTCTACTAACATATCAATTATTTATGTTTAAATTTTATTTGTCTTACCTCTGTGGGCTTGGTAACCATACAATACTATTATTACTCTCCCCGATTGAGAAAATCGATGAAAAAGGCAAGTGAAATTAGCACATAATAATATCTCCGTTGCATCAGCGTTCATTATTATATCCATCAAAAAGACAAGTGAAATAAGCACATATCTCCGTTGCATCAAAGTTCATTATCATAAAACGGATCAATACGCTAAATCATCAATAAAATGTAAATTCCTGTAAATTATATCGTTTGATGAAATAAAAGTGAAATTTGACACTAAAATATTATGTACAAAGAAGAAACTATACCGCTTATAAGGATACAGGTATGTAATTTTAATTGATTTTAATGGATTTTTGTATTTGCTTTGATGTCTACAATTCAAGAAAACCGAAAAAGATACTATATAACGTATAATATAATATAAAATACTATATAATATATCATAATGTAATAAGGAGTATTACAATTTATGGTTTTATTTGTTCATTTAATATGCGTTCAAATAAAACTTCGTATAGTTGTAACCATGTTAAGACCAGTAAAATGCGTGTATTTTAAGCAAGTGGGTATTTTTATTTTACACTAGCTGACCCGGCAGACTTCGTAGTGCCTCATTCGATAAATAAAAGCCCTAAATTTTATTTTATTCCAAGAATTTTCATATTTATCTACCTTTTAAGCTTTCTCTGGACTTCGACAAATAATTCAAGACCAAAATTAGCCAAATCGGTCCAGCCGTTCTCGAGTTTTAGCGAGACTAACGAACAGCAATTCATTTATATATATATATATATATATATATATATATATATAGATTATATTGTGGTAATTTTATGGAAGACTATAATATTATGTAGTAAATATTGTATAGTATATATGTGCGTTATATTGATTTATATTTATATATATTTATTTACACATATTATTAAGTCTTTACTTACAAAGTTGCCGTATAGTATATCCAGAAAGTTAAAGACAATATTTTCTTCCTCTCTCTTATTCTTCAATGCCATTTTGTTCTGCCTGTCGGTTATTGAAATGTATTCCTGCCTAGAAGTAATCTAAGCTTTGGAAAAATTTAAAGTTTCTCGGCGTAAAGTCTAGTGAGTATCCTGGATGACGCAAAATTTCCAACCCTTTTGTAGCTTAGAGAACTTCTGTGATGCCATTCTGTGATGGTGAGTTCGAGCGTTTTCACGTAAGAGCAGCGGGCAGGAGCTACGAATCAAGGATGAGAGAAATTTCGCAAGCTTCTCCATCATCGTGTCCAGTTCCTCACAGTACACAATCGCAGTGATGCTGGTGTCATTTGCTAAGGAGCTTTGTTGAATTATTTCGGCACTAGCCATCCAATCAGTGACCATGACTTTTGTAGGGTTAAGTTTTCGTTTGGGACACTGCCTAGGTGCTGAAACAAGGTCTAACCAACATTTTGACCGCTTACAATTATTAAGGAGAATCCATTTTTTATCGCAAGTGACAATGTGGTTTAAAATCCTTTCATTTCTGTGTCTTTTAAGCAAACCAACCTTAAAGCGTTCGTTGCATTAGCGATCTTTGTGTTCTTGCTGCACCCACTTATAAAGGTTTTTTTTTTTATTTCGCCAATTTTACTCAAATGTACTTTTTTATTGCCTTTGTAGCCAGACGAGCATACCACCTGATGGTTAGTGGTCACCGTCGCTCATGGACGTCAGCAATGCCAGGGGCAGAGCCAAGCCGCTGCTAACCATTAAGTACTCTCCGCGAGCCTCGTTTGAAGAAGGCCATGTCATAGCGCTCGGAAAACACCGTGGAGGGGAGTTCATTCCAAAGCCGGATGGCACGTGGCAAAAAAAAAAAAAAAAAAAAGATCTTTGGAAACGCACTGTCGATGAACGCAGCGGTTCCAGATAATATGGACGAACTCTGCTCCGATGGCGGGAGGTGCGATGATAAAAAGGAGATGAGGGGATCATCTCAAATAACTCCTCAGAGCATTCCCCATGGAATATTGTTTTGTAGCTAACGTTGAAACCTGCCGCCTACTCCGCGGTAGATTGACTATTGTCAGCTTTTTAAAGCTTTTTTTTTATTGCTTAGATGGTTGGACGAGCTCACAGCCCACCTGATGTTAAGTGGTTACTAGAGCCCATAGACATCTACAACGTAAATGCACCACCCACCTTGAGATATAAGTTCTAAGGTCTCAGTATAGTTACAACGGCTGTCCCACCCTTCAAACCGAAACGCATTACTGCTTCACGGCAGAAATAGGCAGGGCGGTGGTACCTACCCGCGCGGACTCACAACAGGTCCTACCACCAGTAATTACGCAAAATATAATTTTGCGAGTTTGATTTTTATTACACGATGTTATTCCATCACCGTGGAAGTCAATCGTGAACATTTGTTGAGTACGTATTTCATTAGGAAAATTAGTAGTCGCCTGGGATTCGAACACCGGTGCATCGCTCAACACGAATATACCGGACGTCTTATCCTTTACGCCACGACGACTTGTATCACACGTTGATAAGTAATCAACGTATCAATCAGCTTAAAAAAAAAAAAAAAAAAAAAAAAAAAAAAAAAAAAAAAAAAAAAAAAAAAAAAAAAAAAAAAAAAAAAAAAAAAAAAAAAAAAAAAAAAAAAAAAAAAATTGGCAGGCCCATGCATGTTCACATTACATTCTCACTCCAGAACCAACCAGGATAAGATTAAATCAATGTCCGGCTTTCAAGTCTTCCTTGACAACGAGAACTGTAAGATATATTCCCGATCCTGCGGACAGAATGGAAAGCAGTCGATGTCGCCCAAAACCCGTCATTTCGGATCCTCCCGATCCACTAACGGTGCTTTTAGGTACCTCAAGCACCGGTCATCGTTCTCGTCGAACCTGTCGCTTGCGACGAAGGGCTCGACGAGTAAATTAACCCACAGACACAGTCCACTGAGTTTCTCGCCGGATCTTCTCAGTGGGTCGCGTTTCCGGGACGATGGTAGATTCTGCGAAGCACGGCTCTCGCTAGGGTTCGTGTTAGCAACGTCGTCAGGTTTGAGCCCCGTGAGCTCACCTACCTACTAGTTAAGGTTACGCTGAAATAGCCTCCCAAGGCTATCAGCTTAGGTAGAAAAAGAAAAATCTAAGATATTCATTGAAATTCTCGTAATTGCGAAATAAACAAAGGCGATATTGAAACGTAAAACTGTTATATTCTTGTTTATGGGCCGTTTCCATCTCGGTGCTATTCAAAACGAAGGTGGTTTCGCGGTTCGATGCGTTATCATGGTTGTTATTAATCGTAAAAAAACTAATGAGGCGTCTATTGAAATATCCGTGACTCCGCTTATGATGTGATGAGACAATGTATACTTCAATTTTCTAAGACACGTTACTTAAAAACCGAAGTATATAACCGAGTAATTAACGATAGGCTGCTGCTTGGGTCTGCCCCTGGCATTGCTGAAGTCCATGGGCGACGGTAACCACTCACCGTCAGGTGGACTGTATGCTCGTCTGCCTACAAGGGCAATTAAAAAAAATATATACATACGGCTGGACAAAAACAAATAAAATATTTGAATTCCAGTTGTGAAAGAATTCTCGTGACCTTTTTTTGAGATACAGAACGTAACCAAACATTTTCATATCTTATTTCTGGCACGAAGCAGTTAAGCGTTCCGGTTTGAGGGGTGGGGCAGTCGTTGTAGAATACAATTGACTCTTCATCCCTTTGTCCGTTCACCCACTTCATCATCATCATTTTTCATCATTTCAGCCTATCGCCGTCCACTGCTGAACATAGGCCTCTCCAATAAATTTCCAGTGCGACCGGTCCATTGCCACCTGCATCCAACGAGACCCAGCACTTTTTACTAGGTCGTCGGTCCATCTAGTAGGTAGCCGTCCCACACTGCGCTTGCCAGTACGTGGTCGCCACTCCAGGATCTTTAAACCACCCACTTAAGATGTAAAAAATATATTCACAAAATCTTGAAAAGCAACATTCCAGAATACACAGTCAAATCATTGTAAACTTTATTCCCTTCATTCCCCTCAATGCAGTCGCATTTGTAACCTTCTGAATTTCGCCGAATCTAGAGCGCGAAAGTTTTAATTGGAAATATCTTGATCCTGTGGAACTTGTCCGCTTTCAGAACACCTCAAGATGGAAGTAATTATAGGTGTAGTTAAAGTTTTAAGTAATCATTTTAACGTCCGGTAAGTTAACAAACCAGATATTTTTTTGGATTTTGCACGATTACGCTTGTAGTGAATGATCTGACGCCAAACCTAAGCAATAAAAAATATACAATTATAAAAAATATATTTAAACATACATATTTTACTGGTGGTAGGACCCCTTGTGAGTCCGTGCGGGTAGGTACCACCACCCCACCTATTTCTGCCGTGAAGCAGTAATGTGTTTTGGTTTGTAGGGCGGGGCAGCCGTTGTAACTATACTGAGACCTTAGAACTTATCTCAAGGTGGGTGGCGCATTTACGTTATAGATGTCTATGGGCTCCAGTAACCACTTAACACCAGGTGGGCTGTGAGCTCGTCTACCCATCTAAGCAATAAAAAAAAATACATACATTTTATCGTGTACTAGAGAGATTGATGCAATCCTCTTCAAACTCGTTTACGAGGGTCCTGAAACATTGAAACAGCTAGAACTCTGTTTAAACCTTGAATTTTATTTAACATTATTTAAACAGACGAGATTACTATACGAGATCACGGCCAATCAAGTTTGAAGTGGTTACCGGACTCCGCAGAAATCGTAACAGGAAAACTGCTATTCGCCTAGAAAAATCAGTCTCAACTGTCTATAACTGTTCTCTCACCCTAAAATCTAGAAAGCGTTACTGCTTCTGTGAGTTCATCTACATTAATTGACGTAAAAAAAAAAGTTAAACTACATAAACACTGCGGTTGGAGAAGCTTTATGATAAGAGGATCCCACAGAGAAAATAATTATAAAGACTTTTGGGAGGTAAAGACAGAGGGAAAATCTTCCACCGTGTGGTCAAAATTGCTCGGTAGACCGACGACGATAGATCGACGAATGTTCATGTTCTGAGCTTGTATGTATGCAAGCTTAGGTATCAGTCAAATATCTTGTGTTCTAATCACAGATAACCCTGTTATGTGTGGTTCTAATACAAGTCTGTCATTCCGCTGACAAGTCTGTCAGAGGAATAATATATTTTATGTAAAAAATCCAATTTATCTGTGAGATTCTTTATTGAGACTAAAATTATTAAATAATTTTGAAAATACATTAATAATGATTTTTCATTTCTAGCCTACGAATAAATAATAAGTCTTATTCGTAGTTACTCACAATTATCCAGTGTTCGAAATCCGACTGTAATTCTTTAAACAATAAAGTTTTAACGTTTTTGCATGTTGTGTTCTTTTCGTTTCTTATGCATTATTTGGCCAGCATATTCCAAGATATGAACTGAGCATCTTGAAGTATTTCGTACGCTCAAATAGTACACAGTATTTTCTTCCGGTTTTGATTTATATATTTATTAATAAGCAAATAAAACACAAGTATAAATTCCTCCGTTGTTTTTCAACAATTTTATGTTTTGTGTTAAAGAAACTTTAGTCTTGTCGGTAAACTAAAATTAGAGATATTCAATATATTTTTTTCTCAAAATCTTAACAGCGACAGCGATGTGAAAATTTAATACTTGAAGTTTTATGTGGCTCAGTCATTGTGGTCGATTTGCGATCATTGGGTAAACACTACTATAAATAACGGCTTCTACGTCTTATGTATGTTTATTTGTCTCGGGTTTCTATCGATTTCTACTCCTACTAAATCAATCTCTAGTTGAAATACTATCTTCACTTTGTTTACTGAAGTTCCTCATTTAAATCCAGTCAATATCGGTCCTGTAACTGAAACGGTCTGGCTGTTTTATCTTTTTTATATTTCATTTTAAGCTTTTTAATATTCCTTCTTTTTGCATTCCGGTTTTTGAGCGCTGCGATCGAATCAAGAAATTCCGTAACGAAAATAAAACCTAACACATTCACAAGTTGCGCTTGTGTAGTGTTTGTGAATAAGCACACGGCGTGACGTCGCACTGCATGCGCCTCATGAAAAGTCTGCCCATCTCTCTCTCGCGCGGTCTAACTTATGAGTGTGAAGGGGACACTTAATGTTTTGCTTTTGTTAATGTTTATAAATATAGCGTGGTCTTATTTTATTATTGTTTTAATATTAAATTACTATTGTCTACTTATAATTGTACAAGTTGATAAAAAATGGTATGCAATAGCTTTACCGCGGCAGTCCCCGAGTGCCAAACGTGTTTTTTTCGCAACGTCTTGAATGCCTCAGAGAGTGAACACTACCGCGTCGTGCAAATTTCAGACTACACGTGAACCTGTAGACGTTTATGGCATTTAGAACGATTCCGATCCGGAATTAGATTCATTCGCGAAGCAGTTACTCTTGAGTTGTTAAGTCTCCTTTGGAGGCGCTCGAGTAGCTGTTAGCAAATCCCACCTATCCTGGCTGAGCTCTTGCTCGCCCACTTGTCCTGGTGAAGCTGAAAACTGGGCTACCAGTAATCCCTCAATCATAAATAAAAGCATTTAGAAAGTCAACTAATCTGCTGATATAATTCGATACAACATCTGATTTACTGGTGGTAGGACCTCTTGTGAGTCCGCGCGGGTAGGTACCACCGACCTACCTATTTCTGCCGTGAAGCTGTAATGCGTTTCGGTTTGAAGGGTAGGGCAGCCGTTGTAACTATACTGAGATCTTAGAACTTATATCTCAAGGCGGGTGGCGCACTTACGTTGTAAATGTCTCTATGGGCTCCAGTAACCACTTAACACCAGGTGGGCTGTAAGGTCGTCCACCCATCTAAGCAATAAAAAAAAAAACATCGATTCTACTTCAATTACTTCACTATTATCAGTGATTATATTCTTCGTACGATTTCCAGCAAATCTATTATGGCTTAGTTTATTATTATTCTCCGTAGGAGGGTCAGTCTACAGTCAACAAGCAAATGCTACCACCCACAGACATACAGTCTTGTTAATTTTAATTTCTCTCTCTTTTAGGCAGAAGAAGGCACGAATCGCAACTCAGAAGGTGAAGATAATGATGGGAGCGAGCCCAACGCCGGCTCGTCCAGGGTGCTCTCCGCGGCTACCTCTCGTGAAGACGACGATGACTCCAGCAACAACATCAGCAGTGAAAACAAAAGCCCCGGTCAGAGGTTAGTCATAATTTTATACAACAACCTTTTCGAGGTCTTTTACAAATAGGATAACATGAATTTGATTTTTTTTTTCTTTTTATTGCTCGTGTAGGCAGACGAGCATACGCCCCCCCTGATGGTGAGTGCTTACCGTCGCCCATGGACGTTAGCAATGCCAGGGGCAGAGCCAAGCTGCTGCCTACCGATAAATGTTTATATTTATCAAGCACGTATAAAATCTAAATTGTAGAACGAAGTCTACAATCCCACGTCCGTATCTCCTCTGCGGTGGACTAAGAAAGTCTAGACATCTCGGTCGTGTGGAAGCGGTAACTTTAATTTGATTTAGTGTTAGAAAGAAATGGATATATAACTAAAATGTCCTATTAACATTCTAAAACTGCCTTCATTATTTTCTATGGAACGGTCTATGAACATTAACTTCGTAACAATTGACAATAATTAACTTGTAATAGCGAATTAGTCGTAATTAAACAGATTTAATATTGGTAAGACAGATTATGAGGATGTACCACATCGTGGCTATTTCTGACGCGTTGCGATTTTCGACTTGAGGGTAAGACAGACACTATTATAGAAAATCGACACTTGACCACATCGTCATGATAATAGCCTTATCGTTGCCGCCGCTGACTACTCCCCGAATCCTGATCATGCAGGAGCCAGTCACCGTCGACGCCCTAGACACGTCCTTACGGATCCATCAGATCCAATAACTTTTGCATTAGACGCCTTCAGCTCTAATACTAGGAGCAGGCTTAGGGACCCCGGTAACCGTACTCGTCGAACTCGACAAAGAGGTCGACGTGCAACCTAACCCATGCATCAGCCCGCTGAGTTTCTCGCCGGATCTTCTCAGCGGGTCGCGATTCCGATCCGGTAGTAGATTCATTCGCGAAGCAATTGCTCTTGAGTTGTTAGGTCTCCTTCGGAGGCGCTCGGGTAGTTGTTAGCAAATCCCGCCCCTCTTGGCTGAGCCTTTGCTCGCCCACCTGTCCCGGTGAAACTGGAAAGGCCTTCAGGCCACCAGTAAACTTTCAATGATAAAAAAAAAAAAGTTTGACCACATGTCACCGAATGGGTGACGGCATTTACGTGGTGACATCTATAAAATGCGCTGAAAAAGTATAACCTCGATACTAATTAAGAAATCTTGGTATAAGTGAAGAAAGTATGAATAGCATAAAAAAAAGTCGATATGATATGAATCGAAGTAATGTCACAATACAATTTTACATGAACTAGATGTTGACCGAGCTTTACTCGTTTTTTTTTTTTGATAACGCTATCTTGTTGTGTCTTTAAAGCGGCTAGTTGCCCTCAATTAAGAAAAATAGTATTATTATTCGCCAATAGACGTCGGGATGAGTCATAAAGTTGATTATCGATAAAGTTGATTATCGAAAACACGAATAAAACAACATTTTCTGAAAATAAATCGTAGCTAGATCGATTTATCGATATATTTATAAGATACTAATAGTAACACACATTCGATGTGTGTTTGTCTTAAGAGTGTATTCGTGTCGAAGTACCCCGCTGTTCGACCACGCATTTAGTATGTGTTCTACAATAATGAAGCACGAATTAATTTGTCGGAACAAAATTACATATGTCGATCATCGGCTCACGCAGTCTATACGTGTCTTTGGCGCCCCGTCTCCCTGAAAGCCAGCGCTGGTTATTGAAGTTCAACTAGCAGACAGCCAGTGGTGGATTTACACTAGGGGCAGTCGGGGCAAGTGCCCAAGGCGGCAAATTTTTTAGGGCGGCAAAATTTTGAAAGTAATAATGTTTTTTTTTTAGTCTTATCAAGATTGCTCAATATAATTAATTAATTAATTCTAATAATTCATAATTTTCTTTTTAATTGATAATTCAAGAAATTCAATTCATCCATTATTTGTGAATTATAATTTTGGCCCTTTTGGTAAAAATTAATAATTAAAATGATTTAATCAATTTCTTTCCTTCGAGATTTAAAACAGTAATCGATTTTTCAAAATTTCTATAATTAAAGAATTTTAATTAGTTTTTTTTTTTTTTGTGTAATATAATTATGAGTCACCCTTAGTCAAAATTTATAATTGTTAGAAAAAATATATAAATTTATTTATGTTTTTGGAATAAGTTTAGGTAAAATTCCAGTATTGGGGTGGATTTTTTTCCGGTGCCCAGGAGCGGCATTAAGTTTAAATCCGGCCCTGCAGGCAGCACCGGATTTACGGTGAAGGACTCGCATACTTTTAATCTACCGGTATTAATTACTCATTCCTTTTTTTTTATTGCTAATATGGATGGACGAGTTCAAGCCTCATCTGATTTTAAGTAGCTACCCGGAGCATAGACTTCTACAACATAAATGCTACTACCTTGAGACAAAGTTCTAAGGTCTCAGTTTTAAAAGTACGTCGGCTCCTCCGCCCTTCAAACCGAAATGCACTCCTGCTTCTCGGCAAAAATAGGCAGGATGATTCCTACCCGTGCAGACTCAAAAAACGTCCTACCACCAGTAAAAACAATTTAAAGTTAACCAAGCGGTAGGCAGCGGCTTGGCTCTGACCCTGGCATTGCTGAAGTCCATGGGCGACGTAAACCACTCACCATCAGGTGGGCTGTATACTCGTCTGCCTACAAGGGCAATAAAAAAATGCAAGCATTGTTTTTGTATTCTATCTCGTTATAATCTCAATACGTAGCTCCGATTGTTGTGCATATTACTGTCGATGGTAGATGCCTACAAAACCTACCTGTTAGCGAGTACTAAACATTACTCGCAGAGGTTATTGGTACCAAAAGCACAACAGTTGCCTACCAAAAAGTCAGAGCCACCCGTCAATAGGCAAAGCGATCGAATAAACTTAATTATAATACAAAAAAGGCTCTCATGAAATCGAATTCTTCACTCATATATTTCTATTGCGTTCTTTTAAGATGCTTACTCTGATTACATTCGGTTCAGGACTATGAAAAGATCCGAGAAGATTCCGACGAACGCGTCTTATTTCGCTTATTGAAATTCAAAATGGAAATAGGATTCTATCGAACGCTATAAAAATGTACCAGGAAATCGAATTGGAAGTATTCAGATTATGAATATCTATTTTTAATGCAGCTTATTCGCGTAGAAAGTTGACGGTATCTGTTAATACGTTGACTGCTACGTAGGTCACCCGTGCCCTACGAGCCGCACTGGAGTATTTTTTTTATTTATTTATTTATTTATGTACACACAGAAAAGAAGACATATTACAGAGTAATAGGAAAATTATGTACAAAGGCACTGCTTATTTCTTTAAGAAATCTCTTCCAGCAGACCTGCGAGAGGATAATGAGAATAATAATAAAAAGTGATGAGTGTGTGTAGAACAAATAACAGATAACTAAAATAACAAATACAACATGAGAATTATAGTAATGCACATACACATAGCAAATATTGTTAAACTTTAATACAAAATATTATAAGTAGCACAGTAACACTCGTATATACGAAGAGTATAGAACCATGATCATTCGGTTGACGAGAGATAAAATTGTTTGACCTTGTATTTAAAAACAGAAACAGACTTGCAAACTCGGATGTCAGCCGGCAACGAATTCCACAGTCTGACCGCGTGCACAGTAAAGGAGTGAGAATAGAATTTAGTTTTGTGAGAAGGGAATAACAAAACAGAACGTTTGTTGGACCTGCAGGGAGCATCAGGAGAACGAATGAAAGAGAATCGCTCACGTAAATATAAGAGAGAAGTGGGCTTATGTAGGATATTGAATAGGAGACATAATATTCGAGTATTCCTACGAAGACGTATAGGGAGCCATCTAAGTTCTTTGCGAAAATGAGAAACATGATCGAATTTTCTGAGATTGTATATAAAACGGAAACGGACGGAACATAGATTTTGCATCCTCTCAAGCTTGTTTGAGAGCTCCTCAGTGGCATCCAAGTAGCAGGCATCGGCGTAATCGATTATGGGTAGAATGAGAGCTTGGACAAGAGAGATTGGAGTAATTATGTCGAAAATCAGTGAGCGACCGTGCCGCGTTTTTTCTCGACAGACTGTACCCCATGATCTGTAAGCGAAGTAAAATGTCCCTTCGGAACAAGGTGACACTATACAAAACTTGCATAAAGCCCGTCATGACTTACGCGAGTGTGGTCATGCGATCCGCACACACATAGACACCCCCCAAGCCCTACAATCCTGCTTTTACAGGTTAGCCGTTGGAGCTCCATGGTTCGTGAGGAACGTTGAGCTACAGAACGACCTGGACCTGGGCCTCGAATCAATACAGAAACACACAGAAATCAGCGTCGGAACGGTACTTCGATAAGGCTATGCGTCATGATAATCGCCTTATCATTGCCGCCGCTGACTACTCCCCGATTCCTAATCACGCAAGAGTAAATTACCGACGCCCTAGACACACCCTTACGGATCCATCAGATCCAATAACCCTTGCAATAAACGCCTTCAGCTCTAACACTAGGAGCAGGCTTAGGAACCCCAGTAACCGTACTCGTAGAACTCGACAAAGAGTTCGACGTGCAACCTAACCTAAACATCAGCCCGCTGAGTTTCTCGCCGGATCTTCTCAGCGAGTCGCGATTCCGATCCGGTAGTAGATTCATTCGCGAAGCTTTTGAGTTATTAGGTCTCCTTTGGAGGTGCTCGGGCAGCTGTTATCAAATCCCACCCCTTCTAGTAGAGCCTTCGCTCGGCCCCTATCCTAGTGAAACTGAAAAGGCCTCCAGGCTAACCAGTAATCCATCAATCATATAAAAAACGTGCTATTTTAAAATGTTTTTCTTGTCATTATCTATATCTATACTAATATATAAATCTATAGTGTTTTTTACGAATAATCCGTTATAACTACTGAACCATGCATCCGATCGACTTGAAATTTGGTATCCATGTAGAAAATACATGTACTTAATGGATAGGCTAGTATTTATATGAGTGTTGGACGCCCTACACCAGTTGTGGGGGTGT